TAGGGTTTAGGGTTTGGGGGTTTAGGGCTTAGGTTTTAGGTTTAGGGTTTAGGGTTTTAGGGTTTAGGGTTTAGGGTTTAGGGTTTTAGGGTTTAAGGTTTAGGGTTTTGGGTTTAGGTTTTAGGGTTTTAAGGTTTAGGGTTTAGGGTTTAGGGTTTTAGGGTTTAGGGTTTAGGGCTTTGGGTTTAGGGGCCGAAGGCTCATGAACTGGGGTACGCTTGGGCGCCATCGGGTCGGGGCTGAGCGTGGACAGTTATTTGCGGTAGGTAAACTAAGTTGTCTATCTCTACTTGGAAGTTCATGGGTAGTGATTAGTGGGGTTATAAGTCCTGTAATATGAGTTATAAGTATAGTTACCCTACTTATAACCCCGTTTATAACTACCCATGAACCTGCACGTATACACAATATATACATGAACACATATACATAAACATATGTACATATACGTGCATACATCTGTTTATAGATGTATACATTTACATATGCATCTGTATATATATATACATATATATATATATATATATACGTCCTCTTCGCATATGTGAACGTTGCTGAAAGTATTAGTGCGTCCATGTGGCGTGTTAAACATGCTCCAAATCTCGCAGATCGCCAGGCCTTCATCATGGCTTGTCCCTTTCAGTTTCATCCACATAAGAGCTGGAACTCCCCCTACTCTCTGGAGTTTGGGAAGTCCACGAGATCAGCTACACCAATTGGAGGTGCACGGGTAGTTATAAGCGGGTTATAAGTCCCCTAGTATGGGTTATAGGTATAGTTACTCTGTTTATAAACCTATTGATAACCACCCATGAACCATGAACCCTAAACCCTAAACCCTAAACCCTAAACCCTGAACCCTAAACCTCCAAGAAGGAGCTTGTCTTAAGGCAGTGAAGAATGAGCTTCTGAAGCATGCGAACAGCAAGGGTCGGTCATGGACAGCCTGTGGCTCCTTGCGCTTCATCCTTCACTCACGGTGAAGTCTGGCGCTTAAGGTAGCTGTCTGATGGGGTTACTGCGATTTCAAACAGAATTCTGTAGGTGGCGTGCGGCTTTCAGTACTCTAAACCCTAAACCCTATACCCTAAACCCAATGACAGCGCAGGCTGCAGCACCGCACAGGAGTTCACGAGCAGAGTCCCCGAAAGGAGCCCTGTTAAAGGAGGCCTTGGAGGAGCCCTTAGAGGATCCCTTAAAGCACACGGGTTTCGGGTTTAGGGATTTAGGGATTTAGGGTTTAGGGTTTAGGGTTTTAGGGTTTCGGGGTTAGGGGTTCCGGGTCTAGGGCTCAGGCTTGAAAGCAACCCACTGGAAAGCATCATATGGGGAGACAACAATTGCAGAGAAGCATGCGTGTGTGTGTGTGTAGGTATATGTATATATATATATATATATATATATATTTTTTTTTATTTATTTATTTATTGATTTATATACACACACTGTGGATATAGATAGACAACTTCCTTGGTCGAATCAACGCTGCCAGCATCCTGGATCTTCCCTCGCCTTCTGCCCAACCTGGAAGGAGCTGCCCTCGGGGACCTGTTCAACCTCGTCTTCGTGGTTTAGGGCTTAGGCTTTAGGCTTTAGGCTCTAGGCTTTAGGCTTTAGGCTTTAGGCTTTAGGGTTTAGGGTTTAGGCTTTAGGGTTTAGGGTTTAGGGTTTTAGGGTTTTAGGATTTTAGGGTTTAGGGTTAAAGGGCACTAGAACCGAGGCTCTACACCAGAACCGAGGCTCTACCCTTCAGACTTTTGCATGCCATACTGTTGATGGACAAAATCCTGCATGACCCAAATATAGTATAGTACCATAAATCCATAGTTTAGGTATATAAGGTCATGCAGGATTTTGTCCATCAACCGTAGCACTAGAACCCCCGATTGTAGGGAGGCTGTCGACCCTTCAGGCTGGAGGCCACATGGGTAGTTCTCAAAATTAGGGTCGCTTTTTGGGTCCCCAATATAGTACGGTACCCTTATAAAAAGGACACCAAAAGGGACCCTATTACTATTTTGGAGAACTACCCACATGAGATCTCATCTGAGGATCACCGGATTCTCCAGCATCTTGCATATCACACAGTAAAGCTACCGTGATGATCAGGTGGCTCCCTTGAGTTCAAGCCATCACAAGGAAGCACCACCCGCTGAACTCCCGTCGAAGTCATCAAAACCTCGCAATTCGCAGAAATGTCATCAATCAGCGTGGCACGAAACACTCCTCCCACCCTAAACCCTAAACCCTAAACCCTAAACCCTAAACCCTAAACCCTAAACCCTAAACCCTAAACCCCAAGCCCTGAAACAGCAAAGCACCGAGAGACGGTACCGCTGCCCTCCGACCCGAGGATCACCGGGTTCTCAGAGGTGGCCTTCGTCATGGTGTAGTAGTGCCTCGGGCGTTTTAAGGGCTTCCAACCATTTTAGGGTTTAGGGTTTAGGGTTTAGGGTTTAGGGCCCATTGGGGTGAAGTGGTGCCTTGGGTTCAGGGCGTTCAGAGCTGGGGGCTTTGGGTCAAGAGTGGACCTTCTGGACTCATCGACACATGATCGAACCTTCACTTTAACCAGTGTACTTTTCAGGGTTAGGGTTAGGGTTTAGTGTACTCAGCATTCCCATTCAGCTGGGGGATGAAGCAATAATACCAGTCGCGGTGTAGAGGCGGTAGCGATAATGACAGCGGTGGGGTAGCGGTGGTAGTAGTAGCAGGTGGTGGTAGTGTCGTAGTAGTAGTAGTAGTAGTAGTAGTAGTTGTTGTTGTTGTTGTTATAGTTGTAGTAGTCGTCGTAGTCGGAGTAGTCGTAGTAGTCGTAGTAGTCGTAGTAGTCGTAGTAGTCGTAGTAGTCGTTGTAGTCGTTGTAGTCGTTGTAGTCGTTGTAGTCGTTGTAGTCGTTGTAGTCGTTGTAGTAGTAGCCGTAGCCGTAGCCGTAGTTGTAGTCGTAGTCGTAGTCGTAGCAGTAGGAGTAGTAGTAGCAGCAGTAGTAGTAGTAGTAGTAGTAGTAGTAGTAGCAGTAGTAGTAGTAGGCGCCCCCCCCCCTACCAACTACACTTGCTTAAAACCATCTTAAGAGCACATGAGTTTTACTCGGTATTTACAGCACTTTCGTCATGTACGATCATCATCAGAGGCCTCAAAATCCACTTGCCCAGTTAGCATGGCTAGTAGTAGTAGTAGTAGTAGTAGTAGTAGTAATAGTAGTAGTAGTAGTAGTAGTAGTAGTAGCAGTAGTAGCAGCAGTTGAAGTAGTCGCCATCGTCACAACAACAACAACAATGTGCAAAGCAGGCTGCGGGCTCATGCTCCTCGTCTATAACCACTACCACGGCTCTGTCATCAAAGCTTCCACTTGGCGGGGGGAAGGCAATGAGACTATCCATCGCATCTGTAGGCTTCGATGCCTACATGCACTTACTTGCTTGCTTGTCTGATTGCTGACTTACTTGAGTACTGACTTAGTTTTTGTCTTACTTACTTACTTGCGTACTTCCTAACTTTTCTTACGGCATACAAGCTTGCTTGCTTGCTTGCCTCCGCATACTCACATACTTGCATGTACGTATGCATACATGCATATGTACCTACATTCACACGTACCGACCGCACAGACGCAACTGAATAAATACATACAGCCACACACGCATGCGTGAATCATACATACCTACATACCTCTATAGATATGTCGCCAAGTCTCAGCTCAGCTTTTCTCGACATGAGTTTCGACGTCCAATCAAAGTCGCAGGCATGGTTAGAACCCTAGGGTTTATCTTCTGAAGTTTGTAAGTATATATAAGGCAATTGTTGATACACTCAACAACTTCTCAGTCAAGTGAACATGCATGTGTAGATAACGTTGGTTTCGGTACAGCCCGTCGTGCTTTCCATCTACGCAACCGTCGGTACCGATCTCTCAACCAGCATAACTCTGATCACTCCTGATCTAACCTTTCGTTTCCTCCCAACAACCAAAGTTGAGATGCGTTCCGCTCCCCACATGCTTCCAATCTGTCGGATTCAGGCCGACGGCGGCAACGCGGACCACCTCGGAATCAGCTGCGACTGCCGGGGTGAGTGTAGCAGCTGAGTCCAAGTCCACGTCTTTGCTGCCTATACTTGGAGGTTCATGGGCAGTTATAAGTGGGGTTATAAGTCCCCTAATATGGGTTATAAGTATAGTTACCCCACTTGTAACCCCATTTATAACTACCCATGAACCTCCAAGTATGCACAGCCGAAAATTGAACACACTGGCAGCAGTAAGACAACCTGCCCGAACTGCAAGGTCTTGAGCCTGTGGTTGTTGCGATTGCCATGCTTACTCGTGTTGCAACTTGTGCTCTTGTGACATGAACGTTTCGAGGAATAGGGTGAAGATGCTACATGGTCATTTGTTTGGATGCTGCTGATTCTTGAAGTAACAACTTGGGAACTGATGCTCGAGCTAATGCTTCTGCTTATATGCTTTCATCACGGATGATGATGCCGAGAAGCATTTTCATCACTCATGATGTCGACTGCAGGAAGGCAAGTGTCTACTACGCAGCCTGAACATGCAATGGGAAGGTCTGGAACTGCAGAGTTTTCTAGGCCTGGGTTTCCGGATCTTCTTGTCGAAACTTGCCTCGCCATAACCCAGCGTTGCGGCAAACAACTGCGGCCAACACAACCCTGAACCAAAGTGAAACAGCCAACTCCTGGGACAACTTGCATCTTTGCTAAAAACTCTTTAAACTGGTCTGCAACTTCTACCAGGCCACCCGACAAAGCTCCTGCCGCCAAAAAGCACAACTGCCTGGCTGCGCTTTGGGCGCCGGCTGCTCCAACAACTCACACCCCGCGCCGGCACCCTTGGAGCCCCAAGCTTTGATGCTACCTGGGATTGCGGTGCTCTTTTCGGTTTAGGGTTTAGAGTTTAGGGTTTAGGGTTTCGGCTCTTTTCGTTACCGGTGATTCCATAAGTAGTGAAAAAGGCATGGATCTGTGGACTGCGCAGACGAGATTCAGGGCTCGGGCAACATGACATACGAGGGAAGCTTACGGCTTGGCTCGTTGGATCCACAACCGCAACCCCAACCCCCGAATCCTCTTGCATGGTTGTTGGCACGACGGCAACCCATGTAACTCAAAAGCAGGTCACCGTCCACGGCGGACCCTTTACAGCCCTACAGGCTGTAACAAAAATGGTCCGAAACATGGGCCTCAACGACGTCAAAAGTTCTAAGAACCCGAAGCCTTGATAGTTATGGTACAGTTTGCTGGGAACTGGCAGTTGAGGCACCCAGTGGTTCGTAGCCCATGCGTGCCATGCTTCGGGTTTCAAGCCAGGTGTGCTGCAGGAAGACAAGACCATGTAATTCCGGCACAGCCACGGTTTAGAGTTTAAGGTTTAGGGCTTTGGGTTTAGGGTTTAGGGTTCAGGCACACACAGTCTCTACCATCGTGACAATCTCGCACACATGATCATCAACATCTTATCATTGTCTTAGTGCGCTTCTTGGTTTGTCACTGGGTGGGACACTAAAACACTTATTTCTCCAATCGTGTCAACCGGATGTCGATATTATATGAAAGTATGTGTATGTGTATATATATATATATATAAGTGAAAAGTAATACTTCCCAAATAGGTGCTCCATATGGCATCGCTGTGTTTGTTTTGGCCTACCGCACGCAAATGTCTGAAAACGCAAATAACTACATTACAGATGCATAACAACACTGCTACTGCTGCTATATATACCAGTGCTTGTGCTATCTTGAACAGACTTCCACTACATGCGATCATTGCCAGCAATTGGTGAGACTGAAATAGCATCACATTTGAGGATAAGACTTGTCCAACATGCCAATGTGTCTACTCCAATATCAAAGCGTGAAACTCGATTTCCAATATAACCCCAGAGAATACGAATAGAACGGGCTCGAGGTCATCCACTTCTTCGACACATCTACAATATACAGACGAGTCAAGGATAGCAGAAGCACTGAGTCGAGCACTATAACTAGCAGACTAGCAAAAGGGCGGTGGAGTTTGCCACACGATATCTGACCGTAGTATGGCATGGATGGAACAGGAAATGCTTTCTCAGAGACCGGTTCTGTCCCAGGACAGGGGGCACTTGCGCTGAGGGAAGACAGGATCTGGGCTTTCGCGGCTTTCGCTGGGAGCTACCATTAGGGGGACCCTTGGGGATATAGACCCTCTCAATAAGGTCCCTTTTAAGAGAGCCAAAAGTAGGGTTCAGAAGGGGTACCCTTCAAGGGGTACCCCTAATAATACTAATTCGTTTGACAGTGAGCAGGGCTGACTTCTCAATCGGACCCTTTTACTCGCTTCTCTTGCAGGGTCTCTATCCGCACCTTGGGATCATGGCAGACGCATCTCCATGCATCTCCACGCCAAACAGTCATACTCTGAGCAATCCGGCTGAACCGAATCCTCGCCGGACTTCCGTCGTTGGGCACAGACAGTACTCGGGTCTGCGGTGCCCGTGGGCAGCCCCAAAGCGGAACAAGTGGAGTAAACGTCTCGCCGGTTGAAATCTTGGCATCGCCATGTGGGTCTGAAGCAGCACCAACTTGCATCGGATCTCTGCATTCCCTCTAGTGACGATGCCTTGGGAGATGACAGCCTTGTGTCTTGCCCATCTCGGCATGCGGGAGGCCATGCGGTGTTGAAGCAGCATCAACAAGCGCCGGATGCTCACATTCGTGCTAGAACCGATGCTGTCTTGGGAGATGACAGCCTTGCATCTTGCACAGCACCTGCAGGCAGCAGGGTTACAACTCGCGGCATGCGGCAGGCCATACGGTTCTGAAGCAGCACCACGAGTGCGCTCGGTTTCAAGCGGCTTCTTGTCTCGCCGGTGTCCACACAACATGGCGAGCAGATACGCGCTTGGGTCTAGGGTGGAGGGTTCAGGATGGAAACTCAGCAAGGGACATCCTCAACTTGCCCACCTGAAGCCATAGCTCGCGGGAAGGCCGTCTGCCCGTCCTGTTTCTCAGGACTCGGAAGCAAGCACAGCCAGCACGTCCTCCGGAAGTCCAGAATTTTGGCACAACAGCATGCGCGGGTGGCGCGTCACCATCGAAACACATCAAGGGAATCTGAAAACCTGCCCCGGGCGCGGTCTGCTGTGTGGAAGGATAGATGGTGCCGGTGTTTGATAAGAACAGGCCCGGCTTTTGGTTGAAGAACTGATCCAAAGACCCCACTCGGAGTTGAAAGCCAGCTTTTCGAATCTAAAGCGTGATCCCGTAGCCTGCAGAACGCTGGCATCAGACCCTACCACGGCCCTTTTTTAGGTAACGCCTGCTGCTGGAAGGAAAACGCGGCAACACTCTCAGCCCCCGACATTTAGACGTGCGCTCGCGCGGCTTTGACCACGCACGCAGAGCTGGCTTGGACAAAGGGGGCACTCAAGAAAACCCTAAACCCTAAACCCACAGCTGGTCCTGCGACTTTCCCTCTGTAACCCAAGCCAGCAGAGACAGTCAGAGGGGCCAGACTTCCCCGAAGTTTGTGCTTGGAAGAAAGCCCCGTAGACACTAGCTGCCAGACCATCTGCAAGGATTTCAAGCCTGATGGTGAGAAGAATGCGAGGCTAGACCCTAAACCCTAAACCCTAATAGATACCTTCTGGCAGCTGCAAGCCACTCTGCGAAAGCCTGGGACTCCTTCCGGACTTGCAGGCCCCAGGAGGCACTCAGCCCACGGTTTAGGGTTTAGGGTTTTAGTGTTTTAGGGTTTAGGGTTTTAGGGTTTAGGGTTTAGGGTTTAGGGATCCACCAATGCTTAACAGGGGAGGTGCCTGAAAAATGGCCGCGCACGGTACGCAGCAAACCGAGTGATCAGGAGCTGCAGCAGCGCCACGGGATCACTTCATGATGTGCTGCCCATCGAGATGTAACCCTCAGACGTGCTTTCCGGCAATTTAACAGCACGCTGCATGCAGATCTGCCAAGAAGCAAACCAAAATAGAAGAATAATGCCAACAGCCATCCGTTTTGCCGTTTATTCTAAGCGGGATGCATAATGTGGGAGAATACCTCAGGCCTAGCATGCGGTGGCAGCAACTAGCCGCCAGCCCCTGCCTTTTGGAGACAGCTGGCAACAGCCTCCGGGCGGGCTCCATGGACAGCGCATGGGGGTTTAGGGTTTTGGGTTTTGGGTTTATGGACAGTCAAGGGGGCCAGGCGAACCGATGCCCTGGCTTGGAAGAAAGCGGTGCAGAGTCGTTTTCTTAGCTTACCAGGGTGTCGCGTTTAGGGTGTACACTAAAACCTAAACCCTAAACCCTAAACCCTAAACCCTAAACCCTGTAAACCGTTTAGAGGGGGTCATCGAACCTTCCGGCTGCTGGCCTCGGGCTCCGGGCCTTGAAAAAGGCGTACCGCCCGGCCTCCTGGCACTCCTGGCCTTCTGACGCTCGCAGGCGCCCAAACTCCACGAGCGCTCAAGAAAGAAGCATGAGGTTCTAGGGTTTAGGGTTTAGGGTTTAGCATTTAGGGGTTTAGGGTGAAGGGTTTAGGACGAAGATGAGACATCTTTTGTGAGTTAGAGTCAGACTCCGGTCAAGGGGCGTCGTGGCACGGAAACACAAGCCTACCGTAGAGCCCAAGCTTTGCCCACGTGGGGCGCCTGTCTAGTACTCGCACCTGGCGACGTGCAGAAGGCGTGGCAATGGTGAGGGCGGCTTGGTTTGCTCGATGCGGTTCCTGCCCATCGCTATGACAGAACCCGGGCAATCCTCGTGGGACTCGGACAAGGTACACAAAACGCTGGACTCAAGAGGAGCGGCTTGAAGGAGTCGTTCTGTGGCTGCAAGCGCTCGCGCCCGGATAACGGGCAGCGTGTCCTGCCACGAGGCCCAATGCACGGCAGTTAGGACACCAGGCTCAAAAGCAGAGCTTCCGCTTTTTCACGAGGCACAGAAGTCTTTGAAAGCACTGGCAGAGGCTAGGTCATGTCCTTCTCGGGCCGTTGTCGCATGAAAGCTCCGGCTTTTGCTGGCTGAACCCGGCGGACCATGCGGTTTTGACGCAACTGCCGGCCGCTCAGCACCGGCACAAAGCACCTGATGTTAGGAAAGTCGCAGCACTGGGCCACGCTGAGGTGCAAGGCTGTAAAGCAGGTGACTCAGGCGTCGTCCTGAGCTTCATGCACAGACTACCAGCAGCGGAGCCCAGATCCCGTGCAGCATGGACCACGACGCGGAAGCAACTTGGCATGGGCGTCTGCTGCTGGTTTCTGTGATGGAGGCACGAGCGCGCTGTCGGCGTGCCCAGGCCGTTCTGTCCAAGCTGCCTACAACTCGACCGTTGTTGCCCTGCACAAGTGCAGAGTCCACATCACTGAGATTCCAGAGGCCTTTTCGGAGGCAAACTACCCTACTGCAGGCTGTGCTCTGGCAACATCTTGGAGTCTGATGCGCAAGCCCGAAACCCGATGTTTAGCCCCGGCCCTTGAACCGAAGATCCTTCAAGGCCTCGCGGCCTCGCACTTAGGCTGGGATGGCACTCGTCATCGTGCATCGGAATCCCAAGTCAATCTCGGGTTCGCGGTGCTTCTGTTCGTGTGCACTTGGACAGCTGTAGGCCAAGGGCCGGAGACGTGCCTTTGCGGCAAGACGGTGCCGAAAGTGCCGAAGCCCTAGGAGCTGCGAGGTGAGGCTCGACGAGCGAAGGGATCAAGTGACCTGAGCGCCAAAACAGCCGAGTCCACCACGAACCTAGCTCAACAGAGCTTCGAGCTCATCGAGCTCAAGCGCGAGGAGTGCTACGAGGAAGTTGGAGTACTGCTCGTTGTTAGGCAAGCCGGTGCTTGGGGAACTTATCCTTTCTCAAAGGGGGGAGTTTCAGCGCAAGAAG